GCTGTTTACAAACCAATTTTTTTGCTTTTTCTGTATTTTTCGCATTACTGCCAGGGTTTTTACGCGATTTTAGTGTTGGAAACTTTGAAAGTTAGGAAAACTGAGCGTCTTCAAAGTGCATTTACATTTTTAAAAATTAGACCAATAAAAAACGAGTTATGAGCCATAGAGTCGCTGTTTCCAAACTATTTTTTGCCTTTGCATCATTTTTCGCATAACTTTCAGGGCTTCTACCCGATTTTAGTAATCAAAACTCTGAAAGTTAGAGGAATTTGGCGGCGTTTAAGTACAATTTAATTTTTGAAAATCCGACCAGTAACAAGCGAAGTATGAGCCATAGAGTCGCTGTTTTCAAATTAATTTTTTGTCTTTTTCGACAACTTTCGCATAACGTCCAGGGTTGGCTGGGCTGCTTTAAAGTGCAATTATGGGTTTGAAAATCTGAATAATAACAAGCCAGCTATGAGGCATAGAGTCGCTGTCTCCAAACTGTTTTTGCCTTTTCGTCATTTCTCGCATATCTTCTAGGCTTTTTACCAGATTTAAGTGATCGAAACACTGAAAGTTCGCGAAATCAAGCGTCTTTGAAGTGCATTTTGATTTTTGAAAATGCAACGAATAGCAAACGAGTTATGACCCGTAGAGTCGCTGTTTCCAACCAATTTTTTTGCTTTTTTGTAATTTTCCGCATAAGTTCCAAGGTTTTGACGCGATGTTAATGATCCAAACGCAGAAAGTTTCAGAAACCAATCAGCTTTAAAGTTCATTTTGAATTTTCAAAATCCCTCCAATAACAAGCAAGGTATGCGACATAGAGCGGTTGTTTCCAAACTATTTTTTGCCTTTTCGTCATTTCTCGCATATCTTCTAGGGTTTTTACCAGATTGAAGTGATCGAAACGCTGAAAGTTTGAGAAACCAAGCGTCTTTGAAGTGCATTTTGATTCTTGAAAATGCAACGAATAGCAAACGAGTTAGTTATGAGCCGTAGAGTCGCTGTTTCCAACCAATTTTTTTGCTTTTTTGTAATTTTCCGCATAAGTTCCAAGGTTTTGACGCGATGTCAATGATCCAAACGCTGAAAGTTTCAGAAACCAAGCAGCTTTAAAGTTCACTTTCAATTTTCAAAATCCGTCCAATAACAAGCAAGGTATGCGCCATAGAGTCGTTGTTTCCAAACTATTTTTGTTACGTTTTCGACATTTTTCTCATAACTCCCACCGTTTTACCCGATCTTAATTATAAAAATGCTGAAAGTTTGATTAACCAAGCGGCTTAACGATGCATTTTGATTTT